CGCGCACATGCGACAAATCGAGGCACCCTCCTGCGCCTTCCGCATTTACACTGCAACCTTCCTGGATCCAGCAAGTGCGATCTCCCGCAATCTTACCTTTGATCCTATCTTGGTCTCTGCCGTGCATCTTGAATCATCGCTTCTGTGCCCTTGGATCGCTTGCTGACCCTTCTCCTGCTAAGGACTCGGACGCTCCTGGATGGAGATCATTTCGTTGCGGGATCCTGCTCGGACGTCGGATTGTTTCTAGTTGTGAAACTCGTCTTGCGCCAGGAGGAGCCCTCGTCCAGACACCTTAGGTTGCCACCCTTTCGAATGGCTTCTTGAGCGGCTTCTTGAACGTCTGCTTCTTCCTCTCTGTTGATTCGTATCTTGAGGAAACGACGAGACCGAGTTACATTCTTGTACTTTTTTTTTTAACCCCTACCGGCTTGTTTTGCTTTGTTTGATAGGCGGTGCCTACGTCCCCTCCTTTGACTACTTACACCTTTACTTGCTTGTTGGAGCGTTCTCTGCAGGGTCAGTGACGTCTACCTACTGCATATACTAGCATTACAGCTTCGTCATCACAGTGGTACCGTACACTGCAGGAAGCCGCCCGACTTGGCTGATATCTTACACCGTCCTCTGAATCCAGCAGGTCTTTGGCAACCGACATGCTCAACCAGGCTGCGAAGAAGCTGTCCAAGATGCATGTTAGACGGAATCCGAATCTGTCGATACAGGCGACAGCGCACTACTCGCAATTGAGCCCGCCGCCCCAATCTGCCACCTCGAGTGCTTTCCTCTCTCCCACGGTTCCCTCGAGACGTGGGCTGCTAGCGAGATCCCCACCGCCGAGTCCGAGCCTTCCGAGCCTGCTACCGAAACACGGCAAGAAGACGACGCAGCCGAGTCATTCAAGATTGGTAAAGCGGATACTCATAGGGTGCTGTGGAGTAGCGTTTCTACTGTGGATTGTGCTGAGGCAGATATACGCACACTCACAAGGAGCGGCTACTTACGAGGATGGCAACGAAGAAGAATGGGAGATGGTTGGTGGCAGTCAGTTGCCCCACGAGCCAGTTGCTCTAGCCCTCCAGGATGCGAAAGGAAAGATGAGGTGGACCGTGTCGATACCGTCCGACTATGAGTTCCCGCTCCGACCGGCACAGTATCGCGACATCTGCCACCAGTCCATGGAAGTTTCAAAGGGTCTGAGGCAGGAGGCGCATGCATCGTCCGGGTTCGCGAAGAGGATGCTGAACTATTACCAGCAGGACCAGTATTACATCGATGTCCAAGAAGCGGAACAACAAGGCTTGTTGCCACCATCAAAGGCTGCAGGAAGGCCAAAGGGCTTTGTGGAAGACGAGGCTATCAAGGATGGCATTTCTACAGCGGGACTCAAGGTCTGTGACAGGACCTTGACCTATGCTATGGAGACGGAGGATGCAGGCTTTGGCAACACGCTGATGCGTATGTGGATGTCGTACGGCCTGGCGAAAGCTGAGAAGCGCGCCTTCTTCATCGATGACACCCGTTGGTATGTTCGTTCGTGTACCGCTGCTACTCGACACTGACACTAGCAGGCCCTATGGCAAATACTCGTCTTACTTCCAGCCTCCGCCTTCTGCGAACTGCCTCCCGCCTCCTCCATCTCACATCGTACCATGCCCACATACCGCCCGCCACATCGTCGTCAGTGGAGCGACATTAAAGTCCACGTTCGGCCACTCTTTCACAGACGAGTGGGAAGACGCAACAAAGATGCGCGTCCAACGTCAGTCCAAAATTTTCGGCCTGGCTAGGACTGGCTACGAAGCGCTCTTCAGACTTCGCCCAGACGACGAGACCTACGTCCTGCAACGGGCACTAGAAATGTACGGCGAAGTCAAGAGCGAAGGCGGCCTCAGCATCGCCATGCACGTCCGACACGGCGACAAGCACCCTATGGAATACCAATACCAGAAAGACTACATCCCACTAGCGCGATACGTGGACACGGCGCGCGACCTCTACATTGATATGGTAGAGGGCGGTCTCAAGAAGAAAGCCAAGCGCAGCCTGCTCTCCTCCCCCTTTTCTTCCTCCACCGACCCCCTCGTCCCTCGCCACACAACCTCCAAGATGGTACTAGCCTCGGACGACCCACTGGTCTACGACTCTCCCGAACTAGGTCCCAACAGCATCCGAGCCCAAGACCGCATCGTGCTCGCCACAAAAGCCGCTCTCGAAGCCGCACAATCGCAGCCCAAGAAGAATACGTGGATCGACGAGATTACGGGCTGGGAAGGCGGATTCTACCGCGACGTCTTCTTCTCTCTGGGCCAGCCTGTGGGCAACGCAGAGGACATGAAGAAGGTCAACGACGAAAGTGTCCATGTGCCTGATGGCGCTATGAAACTGCGCGAACTAGTTGGGCGCGCGTATTTGCTGGATTTGAGCGTACTGGGCAAGGCGGATACGGTGGTTTGCACCGTCAGTAGTACGAGCTGTAGGTTGTTGGCTATCATGATGGGGTGGAAGAGTGCGATTGTGGAGGAGAAGTGGCGGAATATTGATGGCACGTTTGAGTGGAAGGGGATCATGTGGTAGGGGGTGTTGCTTTTTTTTTTTTGGTTACTTAGGTGGAGGCATGGATGTAGGTGGGTGGACTGGCACCGGAGCCATGTGTAGGAATGAATATCAACGGCCGAAAATTGGCTTCTCCTTCCATCTTGTTTATTTCTACCGTTGGGCTTGAAATATGAGGTGAGTATTCGTAATCATTGCTGTAGACAGTACATGGCAACGATTCATGTGTCGACTGATGTATTAGCAAGTGTTAGTTAAGCTGCGCAACTCTTCACCTGTTGTCTCCTTATCAAGCCAGTGTGAAGCAAGTCGTCAGGTCTGACTCGAAACCGCCCCTCTTCTACATGTGGATTGTTGGAGGTTGGGAGTGAGACCAAATAGCCAGTAAGCGGAATCGCTCTCAGAACCGAAGCGAATCTAGGATATGCACTCGAGGTCACAGGAAAGACATCACGTGGTATTGAGAGCATTATACGAGAAACACAATGGGATGTCCAAGCAAGCACCTCCATTGCCTTTAGTATATTCCAAAGCACCCGGCAGACATCAATTCAAACACCCCACCGGAAACTACTCATACAAAGCCCTACTTCTTCCTTCCTACCTTGCCTTTGGTTTCTGCCCTCTTCTCCTCTCCCAGACCATTAGGTATGCTTCCTTGGTAAACAGCGTCTCACCCCTCTCCTTCTCGACGTACAAATCTTGGATGCCGTACCACTCCTCCCTCGCTCGGTCTTTGACCTGCACTCTCCACACCTTACTCTCTTGCTCACCCTCGACACTGTCGTCCTTCTTCTTGACAGCCTCATGGGTGATGTTGGCTACGAGATCATACCAGATGGGCTCGCCAGGTGGGTATTCTTTGGGGTTCGGCTCGACGTAGGGCGACATGTCGAGGGAGTGGACGGGAAAGGTGACGATAGTTGGGTTGCGCTCTGAGACGAACTTGTTCTTGGAGAAGCGCTTGATATTGAAGAGAAGGTACGGCGGTAAGGGGTGGAGAAGGCGGTAGCGAACCCGGTACTTGGACTTTTCTTGCGGCGTGACACCGTTGTATTTTGAGAGGATGTTGACGAGGGGGACTTGCGGGATGATGTTCTTCTCGAGCGCGTCTTGGAAGAGAGGGGCTGCGGGCAGGTCGAGGGTTAGCACGAGGAAACGTGATATCTCAGTCTGCACGGCTGCATCTTCAAAACGGAGACGGTCACCGGCATCTGCACGAGCGGTGATCTCTTGCTGCTCGATCTTCAGCTTGCCTTGGAATACTTTCTGGATTATGCTGCTGTTGGGTTTTGTTCGCGAGCCGCCAACGGCCAGATGGAGGTTGTTGAGAAACCACGAGAGGAAGTCGACAGGGTCGGACTGATCAGAAAGCGTGTACCGTTTTGACGACCGCAACGCAATCTCTTGGAGGAGTTCATGGGGCGAGACGTGAGTCTTGAACGCCCGCGGGTTCCAGATCTTGCGGACAAGCGTGCTGAAGCGCTGCGCGAGCTGCGGCCGACTCGACAGATCTTCCAACATGAAATAATTCCGCAAGGGGACAACGTGGGAGAGAGCTTGCACGACAACGTTGAAGTAGTCGTTCGCTTTGATATTGTTCATGCCGACGAAACCAGGTATATACTCTCGATTCGAGAGGTCCCATGACACTTTGGGCTCCCTGTCTAGCTTCGCGACCTCGTCCTTGGTCATGCGCGGATCCACGACAAATTTGATGTCATCCAACGACTTGGACGTGACTTCGTAGCCTTCGGGGAGCACATAGACCTTCTTCGTCTCCATGTTGACGTATACGTGGTGCCCCTCTTCCAGAGCATGGAAGTAAGCCTGTGACTTCGGGCCGCGACCTTGGTAGTATTTGCCGCATACGAGGCAGGCGTAGACGTTGATGTTGGAGAGGGTGACGGAACACAGCTTCTCAAAGTCGAAGTCGAGGACTTTGCGATTGATCGTGTCCAGGTATAGGTCGGTGTATCCAGCCTCTGGGGCGGTCTGGCGTCTCGGCGCAGCGACTGCGGGCTCGTTGTCGTCGTCGTCGAATGCGCCGGCTTCGTCCAGCTCCGCATGCTCCTCTTGGTATGCGCCTGCGATGTCTACCTGCTCCCGGTCGTGCTGGCGCGGAGACATGAGGCGGCCATTGCTGGTCGCGCCGTTGGCCTGGGGGCTTTCCATGTCTTCATCTTCGACCCTGGCGCGCTTTGGTGCTGGCGACGGCGCGTCGTAGACTTGTTCGAGAGGCTCCAGCGCGGGTCGCTTGGACATTCTGCGCGGCAGAAAGAGGTGCGGTGCTTCGAGAGGCGGGAGAGCGTGCGCAGCAAGGGCGCCTACAGCATCAGGTTTACGGCAGAGTCCGGTGCGGTTGTGAAGCAACAAAAGTGGTAGGCATCCAGACGGTCACGGGCTCCGGTGGAACCATTGGCCGGGGAAGCTCCGCAAACACCGCAAACACAGCTTCAACGCGGGCAGGCCGAGAAAAAAGTCGCGTTCAGGCACCACCCACCACCAACCGCACGCCTTCCCGAATACCCCTCTTTGCCTGTTTACGAGTGCGTGCAAGATGGTATGCCGCCCGCCGCACGCTAAGAGCCGCAAGAGTACTGACGCCCGTACAGTCCAACCCCACCCAGATCTTTGCGGAGGACGTCACGGAGGAGAAGGGCGAGAATGCGCGTCTCTCGGCCTTTGTAGGCGCCATCGCCGTCGGCGACCTGGTCAAGAGCACACTGGGCCCCAAGGGCATGGACAAGATATTACAGTCGGCGTAGGTGCACCCCGCCCCGTGTATAGTGTGCTGCAACTCATGTGTGCAGTTCTACCGGCGAGATCATGGTCACCAACGACGGCGCGACCATCCTCAAAGCGATTGCCCTCGACAACGCCGCCGCCAAGGTCTTGGTCAACATCTCAAAGGTCCAGGACGACGAGGTCGGCGACGGAACCACATCAGTGACTGTCCTTGCCGCCGAGCTGTTGCGAGAGGCCGAGAAGCTGGTCGACCAGAAGATCCACCCACAGACCATCATCGAGGGCTACAGGATAGCCAGCTCTGCGGCCCTCAAGGCGCTAGAGAAGATTGCCGTAGACCACAGCAGCGACGAGCAGGCTTTCAGGAAGGACCTCGAGGCCATCGCCCGGACGACCCTCAGCTCAAAGGTGCTCTCGCAGGACCGACAGCAGTTTGCCAAACTCGCCGTCGATGCCGTCCTCAAGCTCGGAGGCTCGACCGACCTCACGCACATCCAGATCATCAAGAAGGCTGGCGGAAAGCTCAAGGACTCGTACCTGGACGAGGGCTTCATCCTGGACAAGAAGTTCGGTGTGAACCAGCCCAAGCGCATAGAAAACGCAAAGATTCTGGTTGCCAACACAGCCATGGACACAGACAAGATCAAGATTTTCGGTGCACGCGTCAAGGTCGACTCGACAGGCAAGCTCGCGGAGCTGGAGAAGGCCGAGCGCGAGAAGATGAAGGCCAAGGTCGAGCGCATCAAGGCACACGGCATCAACTGCTTCGTCAACCGGCAGCTCATCTATAACTGGCCAGAGCAGCTCTTTGCGGACGCTGGCATCTGCTCCATCGAGCATGCCGACTTTGACGGCATTGAGCGCCTGGCACTGGTCACGGGCGGAGAAATCACATCAACATTCGACCACCCGGAGAACGTCAAGCTCGGCCACTGCGATCTGGTCGAAGAGGTCATTATCGGAGAGGATGTCTTGATCAGATTCTCGGGCATCAACGCTGGACGGGCATGCACCATCGTCCTCCGTGGCGCAACCGAGCAACTTCTGGACGAGGCTGAGCGGTCGCTACACGATGCCCTTGCCGTTCTGTCGCAAACAATCAAGGAGCCCAGGACAACGCTCGGTGGTGGCTGTGCCGAGATGAACATGGCCAAGGCGGTAGCGGAGGCTGCACAAAACGTGGCTGGCAAGAAGGCCATTGCCGTCGAGTCCTTCTCCAAGGCACTCCAGCAGCTACCCACGATCCTGGCCGACAATGCCGGTTTCGACTCAAGCGACCTCGTCACACGCCTCCGGAAAGCCGTCTACTCGGGCTTGACTAGCTCAGGCCTAGATCTGTTGTCTCCTGGAGGTGGCATCACGGACATGAGGGAGCTGGGCGTCATCGAGAGCTACAAGCTGAAGCGTGCGGTGGTGTCTTCGGCGTCGGAGGCTGCCGAGGTGAGTTTGCCCATTACTTGAATCGGAGATCCAACTAACACGATCTAGTTGCTGCTGCGCGTAGACAACATTATCCGAAGCGCGCCGCGGAGACGTGAGCGCATGTAGAGATGGGACGAGCAAGCGTGATGCCGTGAAGGGGTCGACACTAGATAGGTGTATACTACGGAAGTCATGAATGCAGTCAGACGAGCAGGCTAAGGACCATTTTTCTTTGCGTCATGCTCCATGTCCGAGCTGCTCCCAGGACATGGGTCGCGAACTATTCGGGTACGCGTGGGTCAGACTTGATGCGCGTTGGTGGTTGCTGGCAAATGACGAGTGAAGTAATCAGACCATGGCGCCAGGTGTCTCCACGGACTCGCGGGTATGCTCAGCCCTCGCAGCATGTCTTGTTCACTGTCAGCCACGTGTCGATTGGTGCTACTGAAGTGCTCACATCATCGGTTTCATGTTGGTGTCCGGAATGTGGTAGAATACGTGCAAGAAACATGAGAGTTGGACAGTCAACCAGACAAGAAGCACGACGACGACGACACGGGCTCCGTTGTCTCGCCGTGTTGCTGGTACCTGCGTGTGCAGCGACACAAGGGTGCCAAGGCTGGGACTAAAACGAGGGAAACAGGCGAGTGTGTCGGCAAGGTTAGTCGACGGCTGGCTGACGAGGCGCGGCGAGACCCCCAGTTTACACCAAGCCCCCGCAGATTAGTATCGAGTCCAAAATCACCGTTACGGCAGCGACACTGCTCCTTCTCCTGCCCACCCCCATCGGCGCCCACGGATGCTCCATCTCCCTCGCCCTCGCCGCCTTGCCTAGGCTTCCGCTCCATCGACGCAGGACCCACGACGCGCCATGCCGCGCCCGCGCCGGCCGCCCGGAGCTGGCTCGACACTCACGACGCTCGCCCTCGTCCTCGTCACGCTTGTGGCCGCTCAGCAGCAGCATCCACTCGACCACCATGTGCACCAGACGTCTCCCCGCGCCGACGTGCACGTGCAGCACGCACACATGCTTGCACCCCACCACGGACAGGCCAGCCGCAAAGACACGGTAGGCGACGCCCACGGACGTCATGCCTACACGCCCTTGAACGACCAGAACGTGCGCGCCGTAGCTACCAAAGTTCCTTCTGCTCCAGCCATCAGCGCTGTCAGAGCCCATCCTGCCAGATACGCTGCCTCGGGGGGCCTCGTCCCCAGTGCGCGCTCTCTGCACGATTGGGAAGTCGAGGACTTTGTTCTCCTGGCGACCGTCGACGGCCACATCCACGCACGCGACCGCTACAACGGAGAGGAGATCTGGGAGCTGAGCGGCCGCCCCATGCTCGAGACCATCTACAACGTCTCCGAAGACCGCCCCGGCCCCCAGCACCAGTCCTTTGTGTGGATCGTCGAGCCCCGCGAGGACGGCGCCCTCTACCTCCTCACCCCCGGGCCCCACCCCCAGCTCCAGCACCTGGGCGTCACCGTCAAGCAGCTCGCCGAGAGCGCCCCCTACTCGAGCGACGACCCGGAGCTCCCCGTCGTCTACAACGTCGAGAAGAAGACGTTTATGCTCCTCGTCGACGCCGCCTCGGGCATTGTCAAGCAGAGCTTCACCCCGGGCGGCAACTTCCCATACGACGACAGCTGCGCCCCCGACTCGAAGAACTTCTTCACCACCCGCGAACGCGATTGCCGCGGCGTCATCGACATTGGTCAGACCCAGTACACCATCACCATCCACAATAAGAAGACCAACGAGCTCATCTGCACCCTCAAGTATGCAGAGTGGAATCCCAACAGCAGAGACAAGGACCTGCAGTCCCAGTACGACCAGACCCTGGACAAGCAGTACATCTACACCATGTACAACGGCGAAGTCATCGCCTTCGACTACAAGCGCCCGCGATCCCACCAGCGCCCCCTCTACCGTCAACGTCTGCCCTACCCTGTCGCCCGTGTCTTCGACGTCGCCCGTCCCCTAAACGACCAATCCAGCGAGCCGCCCCTCGTTCTGCTCCCACAGCCAGCCGGCCCCATCTTCTCGGAAGACAAAGCCAACCACGTCCTGCTCAACACCACCGAGTCCGGGGCCTGGTATGCCCTGTCAGAAGTCAATTACCCCGCAGTCACCGACGGTGCACCGGACGCAGCTTGCTACAAGCAGGACCAAGTATCCTACGAGTGGGACTCGGCCTACCTGCTGCCGGACAAGAGAAGCCTCGTCGGTGTTCACAGGCTAGACTACCGGATTCCTAGCCAGCAGGCACAGCTGCCAGGCATTCCTGCCACGACGTACTATCCAACGTTGAACGACCAGGCCGTGTCCAATCAGCCTGAGGCGTCGCACCGTGAGCAGCACCAACCACCGACCATAGACGCGACATCCCAGACGCAGGACAGAATGGCTTCGATGAAGCTTTTGGTTCTTTTCCTTGCAGCTGGCCTATTCGTTGGGGCTTCCGTGAAACCAACACTACGCGAATCCTGTCTGAGCCACCTGAAAAGACTATTGCACTCGGCCAAGGCCAAGTTGCCTCCCGCTCCAGTGCCCGCCTCTGCCGAGCCGCAAGTACCATCTGTTGAAGAAGAGGCTCTACTTGTACCAGTCGGCGAGGACCCTGCTCCCGAGAAGCCGATCGTGGAAACTGTACCGAAAGCTGACATTGCCGCACTTGTTGCTGAAGAGGTCAAGGAGAAGAAAGTGACTTTTGACGTCCCGGATGACGAAGACGAGGATCTCGCGCCCCTTTCCAGGACCACAACTGTCGAACGTAACTCCCCTGCGGAAGACGAGGTCCCGGCTGGCACTACGCTCAACGTGGACGCTCAACCGATGACTAGCAGTACCGATGATGTTTCTCAGGATTCGTCAGCCGCGCCCACGACTCCCAAGAAGAAGAAAGCACACCGAGGCAGACGTGGCGGACGTAAACTCAGCAAGAATCAACAGAAGGAGGAAGACGAGGTCAATCGGATTGTGGATGCAGCCAAGCAGCTCGAGGTCGGACCGAGCCTGCAGCCAGATGAGCTCACTGTCAGCGGCGGCGACGTGCAGAACGTATCCGAGATCAAGCGGATCGGCAAGTTGACAATAGACCAAGACCGACTCCTTGGCAACGGGAGTGGAGGAACGTTTGTCTTTGAGGGTAAATGGAAGGTACGTCGAATTTCCGTTCGCTCTCGATGAGCTCATGTGTTAACGCCGCTTTCAGGAAGTCAAGGTGGCTGTCAAGCGCATGCTACCGCAGTACTTCGGACTCGCGGAGCAAGAAGTAAAGCTTCTACAGAACAGCGATCCCCACCCGAACGTCATCCGGTACTTTGACGACGAGAGGGATGAGAACTTCCTCTACATCGCCGTCGAACTCTGCCAGGCCAGCCTGTTCGACCTTTACAAAGACGGCCGTCCAGGCGAGGAACTCTCGGAAAGCCATCAGCGTCTGGTGAACAAGATCAGCGGCAAAGCTGCAGCTTGTCTGTACCAACTGGCCGCTGGATTGAATCATCTTCATCATCTCCGCATCATCCACCGCGACATCAAGCCACAGAACATACTCATCGCACAGCCGTTGATCACGTCCAAGGACGATGTACGGCTCGTCATCTCTGATTTCGGGCTCTGTAAGACGCTGCCCGATAACGTTAGTACCCTTGTCGGAACGACTGGCAATGCAGGCACTGTTGGCTGGAAAGCGCCTGAGCTTATCTCGCAGCCCAAGGAACTAGCCAACGGCAGCTCTCAGGGCTTCTCTCGCGACTCGTCAAGCTCCACGGACCCAGTCGCGCAAGGCGTGAAACGGGCCGTCGACATCTTCTCTCTCGGTTGCGTGTTTTACTACGTGCTCACCGGTGGCTGTCATCCCTTCGACGACGAGGAAGGCTGGATGCAGATCCGTGAATACAACATCAAGAAGGAGAAGTCGAACCTCGATCGCCTGCTTCTCGGTGCAGACTCTGTGGAGCCACATCGCCTCATCCATTGGATGCTGCGACCCAGGCCTGAAGACCGTCCCAACGCCTTCCAAGTCATGAATCATCCCTTTTTCTGGGATGATCAGAAGCGTCTTGATTTCTTGTGCGACTGCTCCGATCATTGGGAACGTGAACCTAGGGACCCGCCATCGGCCCACCTGTCAGTGCTAGAAGGATTCTCGCAAGACGTGCTCGACCATAGACGCAACTTTCTCGCCAAGCTCGATCAGGGCTTCATCAACTCGCTCGGGAAACAGCGCAAATACACAGGTGACAAGATGCTGGATCTGTTGAGGGCGCTCAGGAATAAGAAAAACCACTATGAGGATATGGACGATGCAATCAAAGCAAAGGTGGGGCCTTTGCCGAGCGGTTATCTCAGGTATTGGACGGTCAAATTCCCGCAACTGCTTATGGATTGTTACGAGGCGGTGTTGGCCTGTGACCTGGAGCATGAGCCGCGGTTCAGGAAGTATTTTGAGAGCATGAAGTAGCCAGTGGGTAGGTGGGGGCATTAGCAATCAACAAACGCTGGATTTAAACGTGACTCGTTTGCTCATGGATTGACTTTGATGGCTGCTGAATGTTTGGACGATGCTATTGCAAAGACGGGCGCTACCTCTTCAAACGACTACCATCCAGTTCTGCTAGACTCGCCCTGACCATGTTGGGGTTGTTCCTCAGCAGCTCTTGGACCCTCTTCTCGAAAGCCTTGATCATGAACTCTGCCACCTTGGGCGCGACGCCCCCACTCAGAGCGGCATACATTGGGTTCGCAAACGCAAACTCGACTGCCAGACTGACCTGTGTCTGGTCGTTCTGTATAGCCTCAACAGTCCACTTACTCCGCAGGTGGGTAAGCAGGCCGTTTTCGCCTTGCCTTCGCTCCGTCGCCTGTTCCTCGCCGTCGAGGTGATGCGCGATATCCTCCGTCTTCAAACTCGTTTCGGTATCTCCGCCCACACTCTCCACATAGCGCCCCGGTATGCAGTACACTCTGCTCACGAAACTCTCAGTTATGCCGCCAAAGCCGCTGGTCAGGGTGCCCTCGGATGGCCACCGCCGGCCGTAGACCTTGTCCGGTGCAGACCACTTGGTTATGTCGCTGCGCTGGCAGTAAGGCAGGAAGTGCTGGTAGTTGGGCACGTCGGCTATTATGGAGTAGACGGGGGCCGACGGGTAGGGCAGAGTTCGCACGGCGGTCAGGACTTGTGGCGGCGAAGACGAAGATGGGAGCGCGGAGTTCAGGGCTTCGAAGGGGTTGGGCAGGAAGGTTCGCCGCTGAGAGGGGTGTTGGCGTGGGCGCGCGCAGCGTGTCGTTGGACGGGTGAATCGCAGGGATGCCATTACGGTTTGGCCAAGCTTCGATATATGGTGGGGGTGTGTATGTGCAGAGTTTGATCGGTGTCACCTCGACATGGTGGCGGAGTGGTTCGAGAGCCCAGAGTCAATGAGCGCATCACGCTCCAGATGAACGCAGATTCGCGCTAGCCCTGGAGAAGATCAATTGATGCGGCTGCGGCTCTGCATGACGCTATCACATAGGATCTGCCAGGGACCTGAACCAAACTCCTTTGGACGCTAGCGCTCGAAATTTCCCCTCCATGAGTTCCAAGATTCCCCGCTTACGCGACTTTGTCAGAACTCCGAGATGGCTGCAAAGACGGACAGCATGAACGGTGCACACGCGGGAACTGCCAATGGCGCGAGTGTCCAAGATGCCGGCGACTCCAGATTCCAGACAGACAACACCATGTCCAGGAAGCCACAACCGAAACAGCAACTCTCCAAGGCAATGGAGCATATGCGCTTCGCAGTCACAGTCGATCCTGTTCCGCATACTTCAGCTTGCACGCCGCCACCAGAGGCTCTGAATGCCACATCGCCAGCCGCCCTCGAATCCACCGAGAACGACGCTTATGGAGTGCCTGCTTCTCTACAACCCGTGCGCGCCCCACCGTCTCGCTCCCACGACCCAGACAACAATCAGAAACGCAGCGATCCCTTCGCGTTCGGTTCGCGCTACCTAGAGGAAGGCGACAACATCTTCGAGTTCAATGCCTGGGACCACGTAGCCGTCGACTCCAACTACCTCGCCTTTTCAGAAGAACAGTATTCCAGACAACGGCAAGAACCGGTTTCCGAGTTTGATCGCAAACGCTACAACGCCCAGCCTGAGAAGTGGTGGAACCAGTTCTACAAAAACAACAAGACCAACTTCTTCAAGAACCGCAAATGGCTGGCACAAGAGTTTCCTATTCTAGAAGAACTGGGCGCCGAGGATGGACCAGAGGCTACGTTGTTGGAGGTCGGCGCTGGGGCAGGGAACAGCGCCTTTCCCATCCTGCAGAGAAGTCAGAACCAGCGGCTGAAGATACACGCGTGCGACTTCTCCAAAAAGGCAGTCGAGCTCATCCGCAACCACGAACTCTACGACCCGGAGCGCATACAAGCCGACGTCTGGGACGTGGCCGCCTCCCCCGACTCGGAGAACGGCGGGCTCCCCCCAGGTCTGGCGGAAGGCAGCGTAGACGTTGTGCTCATGATCTTCATCTTCAGCGCGCTGAATCCCAAGCAGTGGGACCAAGCCGTCCGCAACATCTGGCGAGTTCTCAAGCCGGGCGGCCAAGTCCTCTTCCGCGACTACGGCCGCGGCGACCTAGCCCAAGTCCGCTTCAAAAAAGGCCGTTACATGGAGGAAAACTTCTACGTCCGCGGCGACGGTACGCGTGTCTACTTCTTCGAGCAGTCTGAACTCGAGGATATCTGGGGCGGCGCCAGAAAACGCGATACTACGATTGGTAACGTGGCGGATACAACCATATCCCAAACGGAGGCTGAGGGTGTCATCGCGGATAAGATGGAGAGTCTGTCTCTCCACGATCCTGGCATGCAGACGAGAGAGCAGAGCCACGAGGATGTCAATGATCTGGACACTCCCAGGCCGGGTTTTGAAATTGCGCACATTGGCGTCGACCGACGGATGCTGGTCAACAGGCAGAGGAGGCTGAAAATGTATAGGTGCTGGATGCAGGCTGTGTTTCGCAAGGCAGGCATGGAGAGCGAGGTGCCAACGAGCACGCTTAGGCAGGATAAAGAAGACGCAGCAGAGGAAGAGGAAGAGGGGCAGAGTGGCGTGAGAAAGGAGGATGCAGTGGAAGGAGGGGGCGTCAAGGTTTGAGGATCCGAATCGTGAGGGTGGAAATGCGAAGGTTACAGTGATGGCCTGTATTGGGGATGAATGATACCATGACATATGAGAGAGAAGACGATGTAGAAGTAGAGTATACGTACGATGCGTCAAACCGCTGCTGCAATTAAGAAGCAACGCTAGAGAGCGCACTCGGTTGACCCGTCATGTTCTCTGCCGCTTCTTGGACCTCATGGATCATACGAAACAGCAGATGCAAAAGCCTTTAGTTGAAAACGTACTGAATTGTGGTGTACTATGAGACAAAGACCGCTATGCGACGCTAAACTACCAGGCTCATGATACGAGCTATGATGCAAACCCAACACCCAATGCTGCGCTATTCAGAACCAACACATATAGAGCCTCAATCGAGGGTATCACAAGAACCAGTGCAAGGCCTACCCTCCAGTCCACGATCGTGACAAAACTTCCATACACACGCCTAGTTCCCCTCAAGAATCCCCTTGAGAATCCCTGCTCCAGGCCCTACGAGTGAATCCGCCAACTCCTTTTCTCCAACAACACTAGCAACCCTGCGATCCTCTACCGCAACACCGGGGAAGGCTTTGCCCCTGCCTCTCCGGCTCGGCGTGCCAGCGCCAACATCCAGTGACCCTGCTTTGCCCTCCACCGCCGAGACGAGCGAGAGTGTTTCCAGACTGCTCACGATGTCTCTGAACTCGGTGCTCGTCAGAGGATGCAGTATGTTTTCTCGTTTGCATAGCACGGTGTAGGCTTCGAAGAGTTCCTTGATGCTAGGGGATGTAGTGTGTGATCGGGAAGGTGTGGCCAAGATGCTATCGGCAGCGGTGGCGCGCTTCTTCTTCTCGATAGCAGAGAGCGAGCAGAGAACGGCTTTTTGTTGCAGGTTGAGGTTCCGCAGGCGTTGACTGGTGCCGTTGCTGAAGACCGCTGCTGTAATTCTGGCCATGTGGGCAATGGTGGCGCGCGGTGCAGTTTCGACGGTGAGCGAGGCGAGGGAGGCTGCGATGACGCTGTTTAGGTCCTTGGTCTTGGCGGGAGAGCGGATGGCCGGGGAGGAGAAGTTGATGTTTTCTACAAGCGGTGTTTTCGAGGGCGATGGCGTGGGAGATGGTGTGATTTCTGTGGCTTTTTTCGCGTGTCGGCCGCGCGTGTCGGCTTCGACGAGGTCGATTGCTCGCCGGCAGATGTCAAATGCTTTGCGCAGGTCGCCGGACTGGGCGGCTACCTTTTTGGAGAGGAACACAATGGCGGTTGGGTGGATGAAGGGCAGCTGTGTTGAGCCGGCTGGGAGAAGGGCTTTGAGTTTGGCAGTGATGACGGAGGAGATTTGGGCGGCGTTGTATGGGAGGAAGGGCAGTAGCTGTGGCTTGAGACCGCGGGCCTTGAGTCGCGGGAGGAAGCGATCCGTGAGATCCAGCGCGTTGGCAATGCCGACCAGCACCAGCCCCGACGCCTTTTGTAGTGACCACTCGAAGATGTTGTAGAAGAGCTCGACGTCGAGCTCGAGCAGGTGGTCCACTTCGTCGAGGGTAACAACATACGATGTCTCTTGCTGCATGAAGACGGCCCGCAGCGCTTCCATCTCGTCGCCCTCTGCAACCTCGGTGATGTCGACAAAGTCTTCGAGCAGTGTTCTGTACAGATCTGTAGCGTTCTTTACGCTCATGCAGTTGATGTAGCCGGTCCTGACAGACTCGTCCGCGGCGACTGTGCGGCAGACATCGTTGACGAAGGCGCTCTTGCCGGTGCCGGGCGGACCAGAGACGTAGATGCAGCCTGAGGTCTTGGCCTTGGTTCGGCTGGTGATGAAGGCCGCGAGCTCCCTCCTCTCGGTATCGCGGCCGAACAGCGCGGTGGGGGCAGAGCCTCTTGCGAAGACCTGGCGCGCTTCGTTGTAGATAGTGGGCGCGGTGCTGCGCGGGGTGCCTGGTGTGTGTGGGGTGCGAGGCGTCAGCGGCCGGCCGGCGATGATGAGTCGGTGTCTGGGTGTGACGGCCACTTTGCCGGCAAGCGCGTCGCGGTGCCGGGGCGTCGAGGGGGTAGGCGCGAACTTGTCTGGCAGGCCGACGAGCGCCTTCTGCGGAGAGTTTTCTTGGGCAGGACTTGTGCCCGCCTTCCTTCCGCGTCTCGGCGCCGCCTTGTCCGCGGGCTCGTCCACGTCCATTGCGTCGTCGTCGCGCACATTCTGCTTCTTCGGGGTGACGAAGGGGTTCTCAATCTCGCCCTCATCGTGTATCACGAACTGCGTCCTCCGTTTTGCGCGTGTTGCGACATGGAGCTTGGATTCTGCAGAGCGCGTTAGGGACGTCTCGGCTGGCGGAGCACGGCCGCAGCCTCGCTGGCTCGTACCTGAAGCGTCGATGCGTGCAGAGCTGCGCGTTCTCTTTCCAAGGACAGTAGACGCCATTGTGCTGTGCGGTGGGAAGGTGTGATGGGTGGTTGTGGAAGTCGTGGGCACAATGATGGAAGGAGCTACCCAGGTATGCGGCAGGTACGCGCCATCGACGCGACCGCGTTAAGTGCCCCAAGATTGGCCTAGTGCAGCCGCGCCCGCATTCAGCACCACATCCGGGCTGAGGCTTCACGGCAAGCACACACCAGGCGAGACCAGCAAGCAACCGGCAATCTTCCATCGTGTACTGCCGTAACGATCCAGCGTCAGTCGGACAGCGCTCAGTGTGTCACACCGACTCCGAACTTGTCGACTTGTTTGCTAAGAACCCCTGCGCCTCATGACGCTCTCCAACAACATCACCCCCGTTCAACGCTTGGTGCACATCTACTGATTCTGGAAAGATGCGCAGGAGATGACTACTACCGCTCGACTGCCACTGCGTTTGCGTGGTACGATTGGGTTGCTCTTGGCACTCCGCAGTCCTAGGGGTGGTGCAAGAAGCAGGGCTGGTACTAAGCGTACGACGTGGGCAATCAAAAAACTTGGTAGTATACAGGCCTCACATCCAGTGCACATCAAATGGCCAACTCTCCCTCTCCCCAGTCCCCGCATCACCCCTCCTGATCCAACCGCGCTGTGCGGGGCATCGCCAACAGAAGAACGTGAAATGCCATACCCAATATATCCGTCGTGGTCAAATGGCTTGGACTTCTTCCCAGAGGCTTATCAGTACCGCTATGCTAGTCGACGATCGTCTCGAAGGTCGCGAGTTTCTCGATGGGCATTTCCAGAGCTCGCAATAGGGCCATGTTGCGAGTTTTGTGTCTCTCATGACAACATTGTATGCTACACGCTGGCAACCTGACCCTTCACCACGCTCGTCTAACCATCTGCAGCCAAGTCTAGAGGAAGGTTTGTTTGAGCTGGGGATGATGGGGCCCCCCTACTTTGACCACGTCTTGGAAGCTTACCAGGACATCCACTACCACTACAAGCGTGGATTCGACCAGCATGGCCCTGAATCTTGCTACATCTCTCGCGAGATTAGACGGCTATCAAAGCTGCTACGCAAGCTGTACCTCGCAACAGGTATGCATGAGCTGGCTTCGTGGTCAAACCAACTGAAGTACATGGGAAGCGACGTACAATTGGGACCCAGACATCTTCGGCTGAGCACACCGCCGAAGCATCGGTATAATCGTGGGTTCCTGCTACAGCGGATTAGGTACTAGAGGCAGGCGCTTGGCCTGGCGGTGTCGTGCTCGACCAGCACTCATGCTGAACGCTGTAGTGTTCCGTAGACATTGCCTGCAATCCCCTCATGCAACTGATTGCGGTGTACGTAGGACTTTTTGCTGCTACCCGATGCTGCTGTTTTGGCGATACAGTCGTCATGACGTCAAAGTGAAAGACCGGCGAAAGGTCACTGGTGACCGTGAAATTGTTCCGCTTACTGTACTATAGTCGGCCTAAGCTTGTTATCTTGGTCTAAGAAAGCAAAGATTGCTCCCTACTTTTCGACCTTCTCTTCCAGATCTAATGCCCTCACAATCACAACGCCAATTGTAGGTTGGCTGAACACATTTGCGTACCTATATATTCGACTGCAAATCGAGCCTTCTCTTACCTACGGACATGGCCATCTCGCAAGACTCCGCCACTACGAATCGGCCATCAAAGCCGAAGGGTACACAGCTAGAACTCGCAGAAAATAGCGACTTCTTGCAAATCAGAAATCGTCTCCAAGGTGGCACAGACGCAGCCGAGGTCGCATCAGAAGGGCACCGCGTCTGTCGCATCAACGCCTTTTTTCGGCGCGACCTTCAACAAGCCCGCGATGAGGTTCGTAAGAACCGTATCGATAGACAAAGACAAGCTGTTCAAGAGGATGCTCTCAGGGAACTACGTGATGAGTTGCCCGCAACGTGCCAGATGCTCGAGCGCCTCTGGGTTTTACTCGAGCAGCGGAAGGTCAAGATACCCGACGACGTCAAGGCCGACTATCAAGCGCTGAAGGTCAAGGGCTCGCAGGGCAAGAAGATCGAAAACCCCAAAACGGAGACGGAGAGGAAGGCTGAAAGACTGCGGGTCGATAGATTGCACAAGGGACTCGAAGAAGGGAAAGCCAAGCAGACCACGTTTCTGTTACACACCCCAGACGGCGAAATGTACGACGCGCGGAAGTCTATCCTCATTGCAGACGAAGCTGGAGAGGAGGACGTTCCCGACGAGCAGATGACAGCGGAAGACGCTGCAGCTATCGAACATGCCGACTTCATGAAGAACGGCAGTTCGTATCAACCTCGGGCGCTTACTCTACCGTCTGGGCTTACTGCGAAGAACGTCGTTGCGGGAGTCAAACGCAGGTCAAACACCTCGAATCCCTTTGCCACACTCAAGAAGCCCAAGGTTGGTTATGACGACGGGGCCACTGCACTCGCGTCATGCAGCGGGTCGTCGACAGCCTCGTCAACATCTACCAGTCCTACCAGAAGATCGCTCTGCAAGCTGCAGAGGTGAACGAATACCTCCGCACCCTACGCGCAGACTCTATCACCAACGCTGCCCTGATAGGCGTATTGAAGAATGTCCAATCAGTTGCGAAACAATACCTGGCCGCCCGGAAAGTCCACGATATCGCCTTCAAAGCTGCTCTTCGCATCCCCGCTCATTCGGACCCTCTAGTCTTGGAAGAATTTGTAGCAACAGACGCAAAGGCATATATGACCATGACAACAGAGTGGAGCTCCAAAACGTTCATGGCTATGAAGTCGGCTCCAAATATGTCGGTTGCGATGGGAAAAGTCCTGGAGGACCAGATACAAGGAGTCAAGAAAAGCAACCCAGGACTTGCGGAAAGAATGAGCAAGTGAAACCAGGACCGCAAAGGCCATGGAAGCACCGGCAGCGAGGACCGCAAAACGCAGACTGGAGGAGAGAAGTAGAGGCCAGACAATCGAAGAAGGCGATGACAAGATGTTGCGATTTGGAACGGTGTAGAGTGGCGAAGGGCGGGACACGTGGAGACTGCAGGTGTCGCCTGTTGGGGGTGTGAGGAAACGCAGGCTGTTCTATTTGCAGCATTCCAGAAGCATGTATCAAGCATCTTGGTAGCATTGGCGACCACATCTTGGAACCGACAGGTAGGTAGAAAAAGCTTGTTTGCTTAATTACTTCTGCCCGGTATTGTTTCTGCGGGGTACCCTACTGCACCAAGCTTCCGGAAGGCAGGCTCCGCCCCTGAGCTACCAGTCGTGCGCGACACTTCAACCACATTCCAGCCACACCTTTTCGCTCAAGCAGCATGTTTTTTCCGGATGTTGCGTCTCCACTCGTGTTTCTTGTCGCGAGAATCTTTTCCGCAGCTGCATCATGCAAAGGAGGCGCCTCCGTTCGTGACGTGCGAATGTGGAGCTGAATCTCCCTTGCACAACATGCAGACAGCGACCCTGGCGCCGATCACTTCCTTTTTCGTCTACGGCGTGCGATAAAGCAACAGTGATGTGATTTTTTGAGGATGCTCAACAAACCAATGTCTGATGCATAGCTTCTCGTCGCTAAGGACGCGAGCCAGCTATGGGAATGCGCACGCAAAATGACAACACGAACGCCCCTAGACGTGTTGTGTTACCACAAAGGCATGGGCTAGTAGACGGGCATATAATCTGCAGAGGCCTGCTCGTCGGAACCAGCACGCTCGTTCTATTTCGTCTTACTCAACATGAAGTGGACTTCTTCTCTAACGTTCAGTGCTGCCGTCTTGGTCACCCTCTCAACAGCGCAGGATACTACGATCAACGACCGCCAGCCCACAGTGAGTGCACCGCATGAAAACCCGTGGAAGACCCTTTCCGAGGAGGAAGCTGCTAGTGTCAATGAACTTCTCCAAAAGCGAATGAGCTTGACTGGCAACCAAGGATCTAGCCGTGATAGCTACGTGTAAGTCGACCATTGCCAAATACCTCTCACTCGCCGGACACTAATGGAATATCAGAGTACAGCTCGCGCTTCTTCAACCCAACAAGACGGATACCCTTCCCTTTCTTGAAGGCAATGCTACGGCTCCAAAGCGCTATGCGCGAGCTACTGTTCAAAGTGGTACCACCAACTCGACAGACAAGCACTGGCAAGAGTACATGGTGGGACCATTGCCAGCCACGAATGCGACTGCGGTCGAGCCGTTGACTTTCCCGTTTCAAAACTCCCAACCAGGCCGAACACCAATGCATCCCATGTATTCACCCAACGATGCGACGAGTTTCTTTACGAGGTTTGCGAAAGAGACTGAGGATATCTCGATGCAATTGTACAACACCGTGAGTGGAAGCCAGCCGCAACATATAACAACAGAGGCTTACATGCATACAGACTTTCTTTACTGGCAGCATTGGTCTTAGGTTTGGAAGCCTCTTCCGGGATGAAGAGGGCCGAACCACCGTCTGGGCAGGAGCATTTGCGGACCCTGGTACCAATCTCAGCAGTGTTACCGTCGAGCCACTCGGATTCGCTGTGAAATTTGACGTGACCGGACCAAACTCGGATACCTGGAAAGACGTCGGGTGGTACTCGTATGGCAAGTTTTACGCCAGCACAGAAGAGTACCGTGCCGCAATCAACGCTCCCGATTATGAGATGCCACCGCCAAACGTACGAGGAAACTGGACGTCTACCGACAGGCAGGGAACGCCCATGCCGTTGGACAACCTACCACCGCCGGCTTCTGTCGCCCAGGGCGACCAGCGGTTCAAGATTGACACGGAAGAGGGATACATATCATGGATGGACTTCACTCTCTACCATGCCGTCTCTCAGGACCTCGGCCTGTCGTTGTTTGACATCAAATACAAAGGCAAACGCATCATCTACGAGTTGTCCTTGCAGGAAGCTCTGACATCATACTCCGGCACCGACCCTTTCCAATCGCAAGCGACCTTCTACGATACCGCGAGTGGTATGGGCTCGACGTTGCAGCCTCTTGTCAAAGGTTACGACTGCCCTAGTCATGCTACCTACCTACCTGCAACATGGACAGAAGGCGACACGGTCAAGACACAAGCCGATGCTATATGTTTGTTCGAATTTGACGCGAGCTACCCGATCCGTCGACATTCCTTTTCACCATCCGCACCACACACTAGCGTAGCAAAGAACATCCACTTCGTCATGCGTACGGTAGCCACAGTAGGCAACTACGACTTCCTCATCGATTACAGCTTCTTTTACGATGGCGGTATCGAAGTCTCTTCACGCTTTTCTGGATACATTGCCGCTGCTTACTGGGAGAATCAGCCCGAGTACGGCTTCCATATACACGACTTCCTTTCGGGTAGCTCGCACGACCACACTCTCAATTTCAAGGTCGATCTTGACATCAACGGCAGGAAGAACAGTGTACAGAAGCTAGAGTTTGTGCCGACTTCGACAGCGTATCCTTGGAGCCAGGGTCGCGTATACAATACATTCAAGGCTGAGCGATCTTGGGTAGCCGACGAGAGCGAGTCCATGATCAATTGGGCCGAGAATGATAACGCGTTGTACGCCATTGTCAACAGGGACACACCGAACCCGTACGGCGAGTACCCAGGTTACAGAATCAAAAGATCTGCCGGCACCATACACCTTACACAAACGAATTCGACATATACTGGCAAGACAGGTGCCCCTGTGACTCACGACTTCTACGTCACACAGCAAAAGGACACCGAGCCAAGGTCTGCGGATGCATACAACCAGTTCTCCAGGGACGATCCGCTTGTCAACTTTGGAACTTTCTTTGACGATGAGAGTCTGGATCAAGAAGATTTGTTCGTAACCCCACCTGCTTTCCCCACATATTGTTGATACTGCACCCCGTCATATATCATTTACTAACACATCACAGAGTGCTTTGGTTCAACCTCGGCATGCATCATCTCCCGCACACCGGTGACTTGCCCAATACCATGTTCAGCTCTGCTCATTCGGCCATGAGGTTCGAACCGTTCAACTACCTTGTAGGCGACCCCTCTGTCTCGAGCAACCAGCAGGTCAGGATTGAATACGATGCCGAAGGTACTGTCCTGAGTGTGGATGAGTTCGGTAAAATGGCTGCCAACACTACCTATACTTGATTCACTTCTAGGTGGATGTCTATATACTGTTGGGTGCGCAACATCCCGTCGTTACTGTTTATAATTCTCATTATTCAAAAGTTCTACTACGATCTGTTTCTAGCTCTATAAAGTGCTTGTGCCATGGTTCCGAGCTGTGATCAGATTTCCGAAAGCTGGCTTCTTATAGTTCTCTAGCTCTCGCCTCTGGATCCCAATCAGATCAAGATCGCTTCGCGTATCAGGGGTACAATCCTTCCTCGGAACGCCTTCTCGTAAATGTACATGCGAGAACAACTTGATGCGGGTAAAACGAAGTGTGCCGCCCACAGGATCCAGGCCCTCGAATTCCAACCCTTCGCCCTCAACAATGAGTCGGACTTGCTTTTGAGTCCTGCTACGACCATATGTAGTTTTCATTCCGCGGATAATGCCTTGTTGTACTTCCCAACGTGTCATCGCCGACTAAACCATAGAACCGATACGTAATACATGTGCAAGACCCGAGTTGGATAAGCGCAAAGTCCGCGCGGACGACGTGCCATGCGCATCCATGGTGTCCACAATCAGGCGTTTTCGATCGAAGCCGTGCACACTTCTACAATAACGAGACAGTTTTGTAAACTTCGTGAATGTCGCTACTAGCATTACAAAGTGATTTTCGTCTCTGTTACAATTCGTGCAGCTTTACAGTATCCAGTATGTACTGCCTGTACTTCACAATACGACGACATTCACTTTGGAGCCTTCCTCATCGCATACCTTTCGTTTCAAACATTGAGCTTCAGCAGCCCGTCCGCTTGGGAGGTTCGAATGCCCGATATATGTGCATTAAACTATAGTACAATACGATGCGCTCTTTACTTTCTATCTGCACGTTGTAATCATCAGGACACATTCAGCGGCTTGACGTACTGTTTCCAGATGTCTAAGAACGCCATCCTGTCCTTCCTGCTCTGGAACTTGATCTCTAACGCCGAATACCCAAACCGATTCAAATTAGCAGCCCTCGAGAAACCACCACCACCACCTCCCGATATATCTTTCAATCGGATCGGCGAGCCGTTCAGCGACCCTGAAGCACCGCTGTCTGATCGAGAAAATCGCGGCATTTCCATGGAGTCATTGCGCTTCTTCAGAGACGGATTCGCTGCTTCCGAACCAGCCTGTGTGGATGACTTGCGGCGTTTGAAAAGCTTGTCAGTCGCCCAACGCGATGCGTCTTTTGAGAAAAGAAGTGTGAGCTTGTCACTGTCTTTCTTGTAAACCGACTCCGTGAGCCATTCGAATGCGTAGTGCGGCTCCTCGACCCAATGCCCTTTCTCTTCCAATGCGCTTGTGTAAAACAGCAGGATCAGGACCTCAGACGTAACAAGCCCACCATCCGCCAGGTGCGTCTCGGTACGCCGCCACAGCCGCAGATTCCTACCACGACATTCAGTCGGGTTCTGATCCGAGGATATGCTCAATATGGGTCGATCAAATTCGAGATTAGCAGAGTCGGCACCGTTGTTGGTGTACAACAAAGTCTGGAATTTGTTTGCTGATTCGTGACTAATGAACGTGTACTTGATGTCAATGTACTGCTTGTTGAGTTTCCCGAACGACCCGCGCGGGAAATCAACAGAAACTGCACCGTCAACATACGTAGTAGTCAAGGGTATCGCTGGCCCGGTAGCAGGGAAGTGCTGTTCAGTCCATGTTCGAAACTTTCCGTCTTGGCTAGAGGGATAGCCTGTTCGCAGCGAGATGCCAGTGTCTTCTCGATATCGCCACCGAACCTCGCATTCGTGATTTTCGGATCCGTACTTCAGAGACTTTCGTTCGACCTGCACGTTGCGACATATTCGCTTCCAGTCGAGTGCAGCGTCACCTAATGCTATGGTTGCCAGGGATGTGCGCGAGCGACTGCGCCGCAAAGTAGGGGATAACGGCTTCTCCGAGGCAGTACCCGTTGATGACGGTGATGCGGGCGAAAAGCTTTCGCTACAGGCGACTGTGGAACTAGAGGGTGTCCCATTAGGTTCAAGTGATCTCGGCATAGGCGACTGCGTCCAGTCGACTGATGCAAAGTAATCTGGAGACGATGGCTGTAGATTCAAGCTCGGGCGGATGCTGCCCATGGAATCACTCCAATTTTCTTGGCCAAACATGGTGAAGTTGCCAGAGTGGTCTGTCTCGAGGGTATAGGTTCGCAATGGAGCTGGTGGCATGTTGCGGACCTGCTGCTTCATCGCATCGCTTGGGACCAAGTGTGAGCGTTTCTCCGCCGTGGCTCGCTTTGCGCGATTCTCCTCGATGAAAATCGCGTCATCAACCTGCCGTCTCAGATGGTATAGTACAGCAGCTGTCTGATCATCACCAGTAGAAAACGCAGCGGGTGTATCTCCTAGAGAGAGAGGCCGCGATAGTCCCGCTTCTTGAGCAACACGTTCGTCCTCACTTTGCAGCCATCGATCAAAAATTTTCCATTCGCTGAACAACGGGTGTTCGTCGGAAGACGCGAGTGCCAGTGGTGCGCGGTTGCTTGGAACACCAAGAGTGTTTGTGGAGTAAGAACGGCCGCCTAGATTTACTGTACGAGACGGCGCAGCGTCGAGAAGACGTTGGGTCTGCTTGGTTGCCTCGAGATGTAGCCGCCTAGCGACGGTCAGCGACTGTTGTTTCGAGTACGAAAGAGGCTTACAATTGCAGAAAGGAAATGCACATGTTCAGCGCTTGGTAATGACCACTGATCTGCTTCCTCAGCCCATCGATCTCCTTCTCCATCCCGATGTATCTGATCGTGAAGATGAACTTCTTGACGGTCATCTTCTTATCGACGAGATGTTCAGCGTATGGCTCCAGGGTCTTTTCACACTTCTTCAGCGTGTCTTCGAAATCTTTGACAGGGAATGCTGCGCGTTGGTTATTTCAAGTCAGTGCATGCCGCAAATGTAGTACACAAACACTAACGTAGCGGCTGGCCATATTGTTTCATTAGCTCGCCCAGCTCTTTGAGACAGCCATGGAATGTGGTGAACTCCTTAACAAGCCCACTAACTTGCGCTTCAGAATTTTCGTTGGCATCTAGTTGCGATGATGAGCGAGGTGGTCCCTGACGGTTGCCGCCAGAGGGGGGCAGCTGGCGCCATACCTTTGAACGCGAGGTATACACGGGTCGAGATCTCCAGCAATTTCAGAACATCGGACGGACTGCACCCAAAGGACATATTCGTAGGGTTGCGCCGCGCTCAAGCGCAACAGAATTTGCGTAAAGACTGCTCATGCGTTATAGAACTGTTGGCGCACAGTAGGGACAATCATCGTCCAAGCATGAGACTTCCATGAAAAGGACAAGCAGGTGCAGTAAGGACTACCTGAGCTTACGCTTGTCTCTTCGTCACGCGTCCAATAGAGCTAGCCTAAAGGTAGACCGCTCCGGCATCTGGGGGGTGGCTCACGGCGCTGCTGACACCCTGCTTCGGCTCAGGCACGTAAATTCGTCGAAGCCTTCTAATGTCGGCAGCAACCAGGGCAGCCCAGGGCAGCCATGAGCTTGTCCAAAAGTGGCGGACAGCTCGTGTTTGTGCATGTGGCGGTAATAGGATGGTACGCCCAATTCGGCATAGGAGCTTTTGGCGTTCAATGAGGTTGCGAAGATCAACACGTGGGGGAGCGAACGGCCATCGTCGACTGCCATATGGGTCAGCCAACTTCATTCAGCCACGCGTGGCTTTCCCTTGGAATCTTGGAAGATCTTGTGATTCAGCCTGCAGGAACTCACAAGGAATTGGAATTCATAAGATCAAGATGCAGCTGCCCACTCATCGCAGCGTTCGCAGCTGAACGAGCATCGCAGACGCGAGGAGCCGGAGGATGCACTATGATCTAGCCATCCGCAGCAATCACAGATTCCAAAGGACTCCAGAGATGAAGGCCCTGATGCTTGGATCGCGGCAGCGAACGCCACCAAGCCTGACTTCGGCGATCCAAACGAGATTGGATGCGATGATTCAGAACGCACGAATAGCGCCAGTTCGCATGCGCCCTCTTCTGTTGACCGGTTTGCCTTGTGGCATCGGGCTATGCACGCTGTCCTAAATCTGCCTTCGGTAGTTCGTGTCAGGGTGGAGGCTGAAGCTTTGCGCATTCGCAATATGAAGGATGCTGCCCCAAGGCGATTGTGTACGACAGACCCCATTACATACTGATTATTGCCGGAACCCTCGCACGTAGGTGCAACTACCATACTGTACAGTGCTGCCACCGCTATCGCTACAATGGGCCTCCGTAATTGGATCATGCGTCCTATGAAAGGCCACCATGTTGGGGTGGAGGATCTGACAGCAGGCGGGAGCGGTATACCCGTAGGTTTTCCCTCTTCCACTCGCAGTAATCTTACGGTCGGAGTTCTCTCGCTAATCATATAGACAGGAGATAAGGCGTCGACGGTGGACTCTCGCGACGATTGATTCAGCGCCCTTTCAGGTCTGGGTAGTAGTAGTAGCTGGGATCGGCTTCTTAACAGATTCGTTCGGCCTTTTTGCCTTGAATGTCGTTACTCCTATGCTCGGTTATGTCTACTGGCCTAACCACAACGAAGGCGGTATACCCTCGGTGCCGTCCTCTGTCAAGACAGCCATGATGTGTTCCACATTAGCGGGTACAATGGTCGGCCAGATAGGATTCGGCTTCGCAGCAGATATTTTGGGCCGACGAAAGATGTATGGATTGGAGCTGGTGATCGTCATCGTTGGCACAATGCTGCTGCTCATGAGTTCAAACGGAGAGAAGAACAGCATGGCAATTGGAGGATGGCTGGTCACCTGGCGGGCGATCATGGGTAAGAAGCAAATTGATCTACGAATGCATCGTAAGACTGATGATGACTAGGGATCGGTATCGGGGCGGACTATCCTTTGAGTGCTGTGGGTGTTGTTTCTAACGTGACTGTGCTGGTACTAATCGTGGGATCAGGTCATTACTGCCGAGTTCGCACCTCGCAAACATCGTGCGCGAATGCTAAGCTGGGTTTTCTTCGCCCAACCTGTTGGACAGCTGCTCGCCAATGTTTTGTCGCTTGCTGCAGTGGAGTCGTACAAGCCATGGATCAAAGAGAACACGCAGTCTTGTCGGCCTGCCGACTTGGAGTGCTTCCGAGCTATCGATCGACTTTGGAGGCTTGTAGTTGGGATCGGCATCGTGCCGGCTCTCATCGCTCTGCTTTTTCGATTTACGATACCAGAGAGCCCGAGGTATACGCTGGACATCTTGCAAAACACAAAAAGTACCCTCGAAGACACGGCGAACTACTTTGGTGCGCCCGGAACAGATCCCGAACATGGCGAGAGGGAACTGCTAAATTTGGCTGCAACACAGGAAGTTCCGAGGCCTGTATCGAGGCAATCGACCAACGATTCGGTGATTGAACCCGACGAGGAGATTGAGAGCGACAGTGACTCCGGACACCGACTTAGTGACGTACGTCTTCGTCCCGCCGCAGCGTCTCATGTCCAGCTTCCTCCAGGCGACCCGGATTTTGTTCCTCCACTCGCCTCGTGGGCCGACGCAAAACAATTCTTTATAGCAGAGAAGAACTGGCAGTACCTTCTAGGAACGTCGTTGGCTTGGCTGTTTCTCGATTTCGCATGTAGGTACACTGCCAGACCACTGTGGCAAAACCACTAACTTTGAGACAGTCTATGGACTGGGCCTCTCTTCACCAGAAATTGTCAGCCACATCTGGCAGGGAAACAACGACAGCAAATCTTCCGTCTATCAGACGTTGAGTGACAACAGCAAACACACCCTGGTGATGGTTTCCATAGGGACAGTTGTCGGCGGCCTGCTGATGATCAAGATTGTCAAGTATGTGTCGCCAAAAGTGATTCAGTTCTGGGGGTTCTTGGTTCTATTCGTTCTCTTCATCGTAACCGGAAGTGCCTGGACCAACCTACTCGATAGCAGTCGCTCAGGACTCATCGTACTTTACGTACTCAGCCACATTGCCTTCAACCTGGGACCGAATGTAACGACTTTCAGCAAGTAATATCCGTGTACGACCTGTTGTGAGACATTTACTGACTTTGTACATCAAGTTATCCCTGCCGAGATATTCCCTACGAGGTACCGGTGTACCTGCCACGGCATAGCTGCGGCTAGTGGCAAACTCGGGTAAGGAAAAGCCACGTACGAACCGCATATGAGACGTTTACTGACTTCGAATACTCGCACCTTAGGTCTTGGGTGGTGCAAGTCTTTCTAGCATATGCATTTCAATCCGACAAATCTGAACCCACGAATGATTTTGAATGGGAACGCCAGAACTTCGGACATATCCTGCAAGTAATGAGCGCTTTCATGGTAGCAGGTGCCGTAACAACATATTTCTTGGTTCCAGAGACAAGAGACCACGATAACAAGAGTCGGACACTGGAGGTTTTGGCGTGTGGCAAGAAGGTTATCGATGAGCTGAACCGCCAGCGGAAGAAGGAAGATGAAGACGACTGAGACAGATTGCACCAGACTGAATTTGATGAAGTTAGGGAAGATACGGTCATGGGTTGGATGAAGCAATGGATAAGCTGAGTAGCGTAGTCAGTTGAATGTTGATGATGCAGTACCCAGCCACCCGGCCCCACATCCATGGTCAATGACGCAGGCGGCACGTTTGGCGCTAATCTCGTCCGGCGCTACGCAGCTTCTTCTGACCTTCACGTGCTGCTATCTCGAGCACTCATCATTACGAAGCCTGGGCCCCGAAGACGATGGTGTGCTTCTTTCCATCCGATTCCATCGGAGGATGCTAGCAAAACGACACGGATATGTATCCTTCTCTCAATCAGGACGTTACGGGACCGTTCGGGAAGGGGATATAGGAGAAGGGGCTTGAGGGGCAACGTCCGAGATGTTGCATGATGAATGATGGTAGAACGATACGGAATGCCACATCTAAAGATAAATTTAGAGAACCGATAGCTGCCTGCCCCTGTCGTACAGCTCCTCAAAGCGCCTTCGCCTCTATTGCCAAAGTAAGGTAATTTTCTTCCACCATGGCCCTTTCATATTCATTGTTCGCGCCGGCACCTCCTCAGCAAGCACCTGATCCATACCCGTCTTCAGATCTACCTCTGCTGGATCATAAGCCCAGCTATCGCTCCAAGCCCAAATTCGATGCCCCCCGTAGAACAAGAAGAACATGGGAATACCCACGTACGCAGTAAAGAAAGAGCTAATGTCCCACTTCTCAGGCCAGAAGACGTCGAACCCGTTCACCAAACAGAGAATTGTGAAGCTGATGATGACGCACCAAGCGCCCCACTTGTTAACCGGTGAGCGATATGGAAGATCCGTGATGTTTTGCGTTTCGCAGGCTTTCCGGAAGCGCAGAAAGATGATGCCGCAGCAGATCCAGGAGATGAACCCAGACGTGTTTGTTAAATTCACGAACCAGTTAAAGACGACCGCACTCTCGCTGCCTACGTTTAGGTATGCTAGAGCGCAGAACAACGAAGAGGCAGTAACAGCCCAGTACGGCACACCGGACTTGGTGCATGCTTTGAAGATGGAAGGTGCGTTGCCAGACAGCGCAAGCGCGTATAGCGAGCGCGAGGACAAAAAGAGGAAGGAGTTTCCGGACGACCATGCACTGATGATGATACCTGCGTTGATGATGCTGTCCAGCACGGGGATGCCAGCGTTCTTGATTCCGGCAACGAAGGGGGACGAGCCAGCCCCAGAGCCACCAGACGTGATGATGGGGTCGTTGGAGGGGCAAATAATCCCGATAGCCAGTACGCTGCCAACGTAGAAGAAGAGGAGGCGGTATATGTATCTGCGTGCCGCAGTAGGCAAGTTGCGACGCGGTGACTGCATCTCGCCACCTGTTGCGACGAGAAGCTCTGGAGCAAATGTGAAGGGAAACTAGAGATGAGGGTCAGACAAGTAGATATAAAGCTTCGCCGGAAGCATACTTACAGCAGAGAGTACCATGGTGGATAAGAGGGCCACAAATCGCCCAGCATTCCCTTCTTCTAGATACGTATTTGCCGCGCCAGGATTCTTCCAGTACCGGAAGCCGAGTCGGTCATGCTGTGGGCCGCCGCCTTTAAGATAGATGTACAAAGTCAGTGGTTGTCTCACACGCAGTTTGTACAGAGATATTACTAACCCCAGAACAAAATAAAGGACAGAATCAGGAGCCCTAAAATCATGATGACCTTTGTTCCGGCAAACCAGAACTCTGTCTCGCCATAGAACTTGACTGGAAAGCAGTTCAGTCCAACAATGACAATGATCATGATTGTGATCCACACTGCGATGTTCACGGGCGGGTTCCAATACTCAATGACCAACCCGGCTGCTGTGATTTCGTAGGGCACAAGGATACCGAGCGAGTAGAAGTATAGCCAACCCAGCCCGAATCCCATAGAGCGCGACACATAGCGGTACCCGAAAAGGTTCTGAAGGTACAAAGTCAGTCATGTCTCACATGCCTTTGGTACAGCCACAAATTACCATGGAAGACCCTGGGGTCGGCAGATAGGCCGCGACTTCAATGATACCCGCAACGGTACAAAAGATCAAGAACGACATGGCGATATACGTGGACAGGATGAAGGCTGGGCCGCCGCGAGCGAGGGTTTGGCCTGATCCGACAAAGAGTCCAGTACCTATCGTGCCACCCAAAGCAATCATTTGAGCATGTCTACGTTCCGTCAGCCTTTGAAAATATAGGGTATCAAGAGGGGTCTACTGACCGTGACTTCAGACCACGCTGCGTAGTCTCATAACGCTCGTCGAATATCTCTCCCGCAATAATCTCTGGATCGACAGCGGAGCTCTTCCTGCGACTCGCCGTATGCGACTTGCGAACATGGCCAATGCCATAGTCCACGCTCTGTTCTCCGATAGCCGACTGTTCTGCCTTCTTCTCGGACATGATTTCCATTGGGACTCTGACGAATAAAGTAAATACTCAGTCAAGAAGTGTAAAAGGGAGTTGGATGGTAGATAAGAGTCTTGCATGCAGTCGGCTCAAGTGAGTCTGCTCAGCATGCTAGCCGTGTAAGCAGGGAATGCTTGTCCAGTTGCTATACGTAGTCCCACACGGATCCACCAAACCGGGCATGCTAGCCCCCAGATAAACGCCGATATAGGTTTCTCCATCCGCTCACGTCAAGCCGCGGACGATGGTCCGATGGAACGAGTCGAGACCGGCAAGGATACGAACAAGGGCTGAAGATAGGCGCCGATAAGGACAACGGCAAGAGAGTACAAGAGCTGATAAGGTTCTTCAGCGTTCATAAACGAGCTAGGCTACTTGTAGAGATGCTCGATTCCATCTGCACATCCATGTATGCAGCATTGAACTGCGCAGCTGCGTAGAAGTGCTTGTGTGGTCTCAGAAGGCGCGACAAACACGCTCGCACATGGAACATGCCCAGGTGTGCTTGGCCAAACATTCACACTATCAGTCCTTATATCCTGGTATCGAATCAGGAGCCGGAGTACGAGATATAGACCTACGAGAAGTGGTGATGCACCAGGGATGCCCACTAACACGGCGTGTTGTTATCGCAATCGTCCGAACAGCGCCGTCCAAGCCTCTTTCGGTTAGCAATCCGTCTAGCTGAGAGAGGCGGCTACGGTTGTCATCATCTCGCCATACGCATATCCCAAGCGTAGGCAATACGGTTAAATTTCGGAATATGAGTGATGTAGATCAGCTGTCGTAGACACGAACAGCGAGATTAGCGCATTTCTCGCCAAGGGCTTTTCGCATGTGGAGTAGACGGCCCAAGGTACGATGACTATTGAGCACCATATTTAAAAGGTATCACTGCGTAAAAACGGGAGTTGCTATAAGGTCTCTACCCAGCTACATCTCGGGTCAACGGGTAGTGCTGTAGAGGGCGAAATGCTCAAGTAAACTCCACCACGACATTCGGTAAGTTAGATGCTCCCAAAGACCGCATAACAGCCTCTCTCAAAGATCCTCATACCACAATCACAGTGACACTTCCCCCTGTTCCCATCAATCGAAACAATCTGCCTTCTCTGCACACTAAACCACTCTGTCTTGATCTCAGTCCGCCACGTCAGACCACAACCATTGCCACCGCCATGACAAACGTAGAGATAAAGCGGGGGCTATTGCGCGGATCCGAGCGAGGAGAGATAACTTTGAGGCCATGCTAGTGGAGTGAAAGATGAAAGAAGCGTACGCAGGTGTGCATTCTTATAGTATTCAAAATGGCATGGTGTCGGAATAGGCAGGCGCGTCTGAGACTGTGCGACCGATGCAACCCAAGTGTCTTTGGTGTATTCCCGTGAGACTATGACTTGTTTCACGACACAGCTTGGTGTCTTCTAACTACTGTAAATATCTCACTTTGCTGTCTGACCTCTACTGACAGCCTCCTGGGCTCACCATGTCAATTCCTTTTGCGGCCTCTTGACCATGCCTGGAGGTACACAACCCCACGAGCACACGCTAACCCGAAGTGGAAGAAAGTCACCTGAGCCCCGACTCCAGAATTCAACCCATTCGGCGCGTGCCACAACGTAGTGCTTGCGACAGACATGGCACTCGCGGAAGACACCATATCCGTCGGCAGCGTTCGCTTCTGCTCGGGAGAGAACGGCTTCGACAATGGGGAGAGCACACGGGCTGAGGTAGTCACGTACATTGTGGGGCTCCAAAGATTGAAGTGCCATATGCAAGGTCGTAGTAAAGAGGGAGGAAACTTTACTTGTGCACGGAGGGACGAACCACGGTGAGGAAGGTAGGCCGTATGTACCCTGATTCGTCTCGATGATGACGGGGTAATGTTCCTGGTTGGAAGTAGGGAGCTTTGGAGAGCCCTTGAGAAGCTTGCCATCCTGCTCATAGTAAGAAACCAGTGTCCTAGCAATGTACCGTGGCGCGTGGGTAATGGTATCGCCCTCTACTAAAGCCTCTAGGCGCAACGAAGGGTGGTGCGGATAGAAGCCAGCATCTTCAGCGGCGCACGTTCGGGCGTCGTCTCCACCGCCAAAAGAGTTGGCCCAGGACTCGAAATAGCGGATGCGCCAAACAGCCTGGTCGCGGTCTTTGCACGTTGCCAGGGTTCGATAGAGATGTGCCAGCTGCTTGTTTGCGTCTTCTCGTAAGTCATCGAGGTGGTGAAGGGGCCCTTGCTGTTGCTTCTGGTAGTCGGTGAGGGAGAAGCTGCGGAAGGACATTGGCTGGAGCAAATCTGTACCCATGAGAGTGAGGCGAGTCATGTTTCCATGTGGGGAAAGAAGAGTGACGATGTCGAAGGGGAGGTAGTGAAGCTTGTTGAGGGATACGTCCAGTGCCTCGAGCTTGCGCAGGCGGCTGATTTGCTGGGGAAGTTCGTCGATATCGTTCTGGCGCAGGTAGAGGCCAGTGAGATCGTCAAGGTTGAACAAAGCGGGCACGAGGCGACGGAGCTTGTTCTTGCCAAGGTTGACGTGGAGTCTGGGGAGCAGAGAGCGATACTGGCCCGCCGTGGGGAGCTCGTTGTCGTACACGGGAGGGTGGCTAATGACGGAATTGAGCTCGCCAATGCGTCTGATGTCGCTGTCGTCGAGGTCCAGGCCAACGAGGTCGTACGACTCCCGGTCTGCCGCAAGGCCGTCGTCGATGTGCCGGTTGAAGACGGACCCTGGAGTGGGGTGTCTTACCACGTCCATGTCCACGTCCATGGCTTCATCGTCGGTAGCTCGCGCGTGGAGCGGGCGGGGGAGCGAGACGGAGG